GATAAAAATGCAATGTCACGATTTGACCTTTATGATGAAATACTAGTAGTGATGTCATTATTAGCCAATCAGTAAAGCAGATGCATAAAGTTCAAAGACGATTGCTAGATTGTAAACAAAAGCATCGTGTGCCATCGCAGCAGAGCGACCCCATTTTTCTTTTCTCTTTATTATGATTAGACATGAATGAAAAGTGCCAAGCTGACAGACTGCGAAATCCGTGGATTAAAAGTGCTAAGTCCAAATTGTGTGGGACGATATCGACGAACTTCAAGAATAAGTTGTAGGGATTTTGTTCGACGGCTACAGTGACGCCGACTTGGACTTTGAGGGTTTTGAGTTTGACGAAGATGGCAATGAACGTACAAATAAAGATCTGAGAAGTTTTTTTCAAACAGCTATGAATTTTTATAATTTTTACTGTGTACATTTGTAAATTATTATTGATCTTGTATGATGGTTGATGCGTAATTTGTCGAGACCGGAAATCATTTTATGCAGTTTAACCCCTGACATTTTAATTAATTTTGAGTTCACGCGTGTTTGTCGGCGGGAAAATCCTAATTCAAATGATTCCTCACTGTCGATTTTTATTATTTCTGGTTTTTTGTCACATTACAGGCAATACATTATTTTTGTTCTACTTCTAGTGTTGCATGTTTTCATTTGCCGTTCTATTCCCTGCCGCAGTTCGATCGAACTGCGTGTTGCCGATTTTCGCGAATTTTTGTTTTTTTTGCCGAGGATCTCCTGGCAAACGCCCACCCCTTCTTTTTGGCAATTTTCCATGTTCAAGACCCTGGGCTTATACCCGGATAAATACGGTATTTGCAGATTAAGTTACTTTGAGGAACGCATGATACTGACAAATTTTTGACAAAACCCATATTTGAAATAAATCAGTTTATTCCCTGTAACTGTTTTTTTTTGAATTACCGGTATGAACATCAGTTGTTTATACTTTATCAACGTTTTCAATTCAAAATGGATGACAGGGCTTTATGATATCATGGTTACCGGTATGTAAAAATGATTAGTATAAACCGTGATGCTATGCGGAAATCACAGTTTCATTTATTTCCACAAAAACCATGGCAACTCATTTTTTAAAGCATTTTTTTTTAAATTAGCTACTGTAAGTAAATTATTTTTTGAACTTTTGGTGAAACTAAGATGAGCTACAAATAAAATTTATAATTGCAACCATGTGAGGTATAGAATCCATAGAATTGTGTGCATGAAAGTTTAGTTCTACTTTCATTTTACTTCTCAGATACACACATTTATTTAATAAAGAGGTTTCAGCACCAATCAGACCTATCATATTATAAATGACAGGCGTGCAGATCTGCATAATATTCATACTGACACACAGTACATATATATGAATTAACCTGAAATTTGAGGAAATGAACATTTTCTAAAAGTGACTGAAATATTATTACACAAATTAGCTTCTTTTGAAACATAATATCACTGTGTCTGCAGGATTACATTAAAAGGTTAGACTTACCTATATAGAAAAAAGGAATATCTCCCATAATTGGTCATCTCACTATAAATTTGTATGCCAAAGGTTTAATAACTGACACATTTCCACAATGGGAGTGATAAATTTCAGGTGATAGAATAAATGCTGACACTAATGAATGTGTGGTATATTTTTACGGCCTTTGCAATTTGAACAGCAGATAGTGCACTGCAAATGAACGGTGACAGACCAATTTTTCTTTCATTTCTCTAACTATGTATTTCTTTTCTAATAGTTCAGTTATTATGTTATATATGTTCGGTGGTTATTTGATTGGCAATTGTGATTGAATTTTAGTTTATTGCTTTGTGACTTTCATGAACCAGGAGGATGCATTTACGGGTGCGTTTAGCCTCAGATTTCTCTTTAAATTCTAATTTTCATCAAATTATAGAAAAACACCTTCCGTAAAAGTGGAAAGGTGTCATCAGATGAGAAAATGTACCAGTTGCTTCAAACTGAAATCAAGGTAAATATGTAAATGCTCGTATAATATGCACAAAAATAAGTTGTCTGACAAATATCTCCTCCAAATGACACCTCTCCCATTGCCCTCTTCGTCTGTTATATTGATACACAATAACAATATTTGTTTATGAAGTGTAGGGAAAACTTATTTTATTAAGTTATCCCTAGCATAGCCAATTAACTTCAGAGACATTTTATGTTTACAATACTCAACAATGAATTAGTTCATCTATTAATAATGTTTAAGACATGAATTATACTTTAATTGTTGTGAACCTATAAAAATATAACACTGTTTGTTGTACATTCAGCATATTGAGTTTTTAATCAATAGGGTATTTTTAATTGTAATGTTACAGAAACCCAAACTTTTCATTTTAATTTCAAATCTATTTTTTCTGGAGGGAAAAGTCTACTGAATGATCAAATTAAATTTCGCTTATATTGAATTTAAAATGAAGGAAATGTGAATCCGGAATTATGCCATGACAGCTGTATACACCTGAACCAAAATATATCATCATTGCCGTCACTGGGCTTGAACTTGAGTATCCTGTAGGCACCCAATTTCAAGGCCCTAGATTTATTGAATTTGCAGGTAATGGAAATATTTAACTATTTTGAAGGACATCAGGGCATTTAGGTGCTGCATCTTTGCAATGACCATGGGGAACTTCAAGCTCAGATCACCTGCAGACAGAATCACACTGCATATGTACATTCAAATGTATGATCTTTAAATCTAATAATAGAGCAAATGCAGTACAACATAAATCTCAATCAGTCTGCTACTCAGCAGTAGATAGCTGAAAGGGCATTTACATCGTCACTACCATATATATTTTTAAATATATTAACAGAAACTTAGTGTCTAAATATATTATGCTTAATATACATCATATTTATTGATGAAAGATGTTAAATTTACATCTTTCCTCTTATATGGGATGAATTTCCATGCATTCTTTGTGTCAGCATCATTTTATTGCCACTCAATGACTGGTTAACTAGTCTTAAACAACATAGTATATTTATTTTCATCTCTTTTTTTGTTTTGTTATTTTTGTTGAAAAAATGAATAATGTCAATAAAGTTATTATGTAATGATTATACATCCAAGTGACGAAACTTTCTGGGAGTCTAATGTTTATGTTAGACTGTATTTATGATCACACGGTAATTTGCATAATCTCGTGTTGGCATCAGTTTCTCGGTTTTATCTGCGTCAGCGGTTATGTTTGTTTCAAGTTAAAGTTTATTTCTGCATTCTGAACGAATTTACACCAACTTTACGTACGATGGAGAATTCTACAGTTAATACCAGACGACGGGGTCGTAAACGTGGAGTGCCTACTGCACCCCAAACAACAGAGCCAGTGTTGCCGGCCACGAGGAGAAAATCAAGTCGTAGAGGTCGTGGTAGGGGTCGCCATCGATCCCTTTCTTTACCAAATAACGCCTTGGGCGATGTCAACGAACCATCGAGATCGCGAACGTTTGATGCCTCAAACCCTAACAATTGGACGGCGGCTGAAGTCAGACAGAAACTTTTGGAAATGGGCATAACGGTACCACAGTCCATGAATAAGAAAGAGGCGATTCAACTATACAAATTGAACTGCCAAGGCCGTGTTTCGACCAGCAGCAGTGACAGTACAGTTACACGTACTGGTGACGCAATCGAGAATCGCGGGACTTTAGAACTCACTTCACAGACTATTGAATCAGCGGATGTTACAGCCAACAACTCAGCAATGTTAACGCTGCAACTAATATGGAAAGTCTTATTCAGGAGGTCAGAGAGTTGCGAGAAACGGTACACGAATGGCGTCGTTCACCCGATGATAGGGTTGAAAACAACATGGCCACTGTTCCATCGCGGGGGTCACCTCAGGAGTCTGACAACGTCGCGCCACATACAGTTACAGTAGCAAGCCTTCACAACACGGCTCTTGGACAGGATCGATCCGCTACCTTCTCGGTGGATTATACTCATTTGTTCCCCCAAGATTTATTTTCCTAGTTTATTTTTAGTATGTATTTTTGTCATCCTTGTGTATATAGTTCACCCAAGTGTTTTCTCTTAGTTTATTTATAGTATGTATTTATTTTCATCCTCATGTATATTAACCTACCATACTTGTAGATATGGCTTCCGCCATTTCTACCTTGCCAGGCAGCTTCCGCTGCCTTACTAACCCTTACATGGTCTCGGCTTCCGCTGTCTCTGCCAGTATGTGCAGCCTCCGCAGCACTACTGATAACTTACTTACCTCAGGTGGTCAATAGCCTTCGCTGTTCTACCAGGTAGTCTTATCTCAGCTACCACAGCTTCACCTCATAATCATTACTGATTACTAATAGTTAACATTTATTTATCTTTATCGCAGTTTGTTTTTAAGAAGTTTTCTGTATGTTTTGTTACCAGGTGCTAAAGGTCATTAGTATTGTCACTAACTGACCTATCTGGGGGGCCCGCTGTGCGACACGTTATCTTAGATAGCTTAGTTACAGTTTGTTAGGCATTTTCAACTTTGTACAGGCAGATTGTCCCAGCAGCGTGCCCCCCCCCCCTGATGCCAAATAAAGTTCAGTTTACAATAATGAGCGTGTCATAAATGTGTTTTTGTAGTTTTAAAATTATTTTTATTATATGATACTACCG